ACTCCCCCCTGGGGGGGCCCCAGCCTCTCCTCAGACTGACTGGGCCCCTCCGGCAGCTCCTGCACAGGGAGTGAGGCCCCCTACGGTCTCTGAGCACTTCAGGAAGCCACAGGCCAAGGCCAAGTTCTGACTGTCAGGTGTATCCAGAGACTGTTCCCTCAGGAGTATTCCTGCCCCTCCACCTTTCCAGCCCTTAGGACTATTCCTGCCACACAGACCCCTCCTTTCTGAGGGATCAGGAATTATCACCATCTTCTTCTGAGAGGAGACTGAAACTAACTGAGGCTGAGGGGCTTTGGGTCTCTCCTGTCCTGGTCCAACACATGCAGCCTCAGAGCGAGTCTCTTCCCAGTCCCACCCATTCCCACATCAGAGCAACGCTCTCTCCCTGGTACAGTTTCCCCCACCCCACCCTGAGAGCGAGTCTATCCCTTATGCATTTCCATCAGTCTAGAGCAGCATGAACTCTATCTCCCACAAAACATGTTCCTCCCCAGTGTTTATGGTACCTGGCCATCAGCACCCAAGGACCAACTGTGGGTGGGGCTGACCCACTGACCTCACAGGGACCATGTGACTCTTTCTCTGGCCTAAAGCACTGCGGGATAAATCCATGGACATGTTTGCATAAAACAGTGAGTCTATTTAAATGGTGGTTTGTATATTTCATGTGTGTCTTTCCTGGCTGGGTGGTGGGGTGCCTGGAGGCACTCTGAGATGGGGAGGGTGGTATGCTGGACAGCTGATTTTGGTCTCAGTTTTCCTGTAAGGAGCCAACGGGATGAGAAAGAGCAAAGTCAACTTCCAGGAGCTGATCCCTACAACCTCAGGTACCCAAGTCCCACCTTTCCCTTTGGGGATATTCCAAGTCCTACACCTGCCTTCCCCCTGTAGGCATGCTGAAGACTCATAACCTGCTCAGGTACCAGGTTCCTACCCCCAGCACCATCCTGAACACATTCTGCACATGACACCATGCCTAAGAGGCATCCAAGATCTCATGGGTACCCAAGTGTTGCACCCAGCGTCACCCCTTACTGGTAACTGAGACCCAGCTCCTCCCCTCATAGATACCTGGCATTCAGCTCCTTAGTGCTCTCCCCCGATGCTGCACTCTGTCGTGTGCACTGTATCATGTTAGCTGTAATCTGGGCTGCCTCAAACGGCTCCTAGAAACCTTCTACTCCCCAGCACAAAGTGCTGAGGTTTAATTGTATGGAATACTAACAGGGAGTCCTTGCTGCAAGCATAGTCTGGGGCCAGCCTGTTCCCACAAGGCTTCTTCTCAGAATCATACTTGACTACAGCCCTCAAAACAGAAGGCATCTCAAGAGACCCGGGAGCCTGCAGGCTCTGCCCATTCTCAGTGTGAAGTGGATCAAATATTAGGAAAAATATTCACCGAATAAATGGCTCAATATAAAATGGCAATGTTTGCCAAATCGTGTATTTATTGAATTAAACTCCACCAGCTCTGTCTCTGAGTTTCAAGGGGATCACTAGCCACATCCACAGATACGCAGGCACGCTCATAAATGCTGTTAGGTGTTTCTCTCTCTCTCTCACACACACACACTAGACAGACATTACAACTCCAAGCTAACGTTCCCCTCCAATCCTGGTGAGGAGCTACCCTCTATGACAGTGATTTACTATCCTGTCTGTCCTGCTTTCAGCTGTGAGCTGCTTTTCCTCAGAGATACTGTTTTTATTCTGTCAAAGACTGATCCTTCCCTTCCATGCAGCCTCTGTTTGTCTTTGTTCCCAATTTGTTTGACGTGCTAGACGATAGCCCATGTTGTGTAAATAATGTACATACAGTGAAAAAAGAATTTGGTATTGAGGTGTTTGAGGTATGGAACTGTAACAACTTCTAGTCATTCAGAACCTGTGAGTTATGTGCCATTTTCTGTAAAGACCTAAGCAAGAATAAAACTAAACTAAAGACAGCACCAAGCTTGAAGGAATCATCATCTTTTGGAATAAGGGGGCCTGGATGGAAGGCAAATGGCCCAGCAGTTTGTACATATGTGTGCAAGTGTACTTTGTGCATGCACATGCACACAAATAACGGAGGGGTATATGTTGCCTGCACATTTTTCACTACCTCTTAAAACAACTAGCAGAATACAATAAAATCATGAAGCAGCCCAACTAATTTGATTTGTGTCAGAGCCAATGGAGCCTAAAAATGTCAACTTCTGTTCTCAACCCACAACCTAACAATTTCCTATGGGATGCCAGATGAATTCTCGGTTCTACAATGCGTAAAGAGGGAGCTGAATCCTGCAACGAGAGACTAACATATTTCCAGCAACACCAAATATTGGTGACATGGCATGGTACTTACTGTAAGGAGAGAGGACTTCAGGAGACATAATTACAATTCTCTGCCCAAATGCCACAGACAAGCTTACACTCAAAAGGCGAAAATGCAAGGTAATTTCCTGGCCATCACGTAGGACATATGGAAGCTTGGAGGGCCTGAAGGGAAGAAGCTAGTGCTCTAAGGCTTTGTATTTCAAAATATACTTAGCACTGCTTCCAATAATCTGAGTGGACACATGCATGACTCACATCGGCTTTCAGTAGTCACACCTCATACACACATCCCCCTTCAGCCACATACACTGTGTCTCTCAAACATTTAAACCTTGCGCACTCCCACAATCAGACCTCACAGACACAGCTTGCACACACCCATACATCTTGCATACATCTGTACTTACCATGCACGGTTCTACTTTGCACATCCATGTACTTCACAAACATCCTGCAGCCATGAACACACTTTACACACTAACACAATGCCATGCTTGAGCCTTGCGTGCACACGCCACACATGTCTAGGTGTCACTTAAGTGTACAGCATACTTGGCGCACATACCATTCACTTTAACAGTACAACAATTCCTCATTTAACACTATAGATATGTTTCAGAAAATGATCGTGTTAAATGAAAACATGTTATGCGGGATCAATTTTCCCATTGAAAATAATGGAAAAGGTGGGGGTTGCGTGTCAAACGGTGGTGTCTGTTGGGACCGGGACATAAGGTTGGGGGAGAAAGAGAACTGGGTTACAGCAGGGAGGGGAGGTGTTTGGCTCTGGGGAAGGGAAGGGAAGGAGAGGCGAGGGGAGGGGGATTGGGTTGGGAGTATGCCCCTGTGACGGGTCTGCTGGGTCCCGCACTGCGTCCAGCGACGGGGAGTCGCTGGGGAACAGCGCAGCAAGCGGCGAACCCTCTGCTGCTTTGCAGGGAGGCGGGGGAAGTCCTGCGCAGCTGCCGGTGATGGGCCGGCTGGGGAAACCCAGCTGCCGGCCTGCAAATGGGGCTGGAGGAGAAGGAGCATGGCGTCCGGTGAGGGGGAGTCAGCGGGGAACGGCGCGGTGAGCAGCGAACCCTCCGCCACTTTGCAGGGAGGTGGGGGAAGCGCCGCGCAGCCTCCAGCCTCCAGCGACGGGCTGGCTGGGGAAATCATGTTATTCCAGGGACGGTCATGTAATTCAAAAAATGTTCCCTAAAAAAAAATCGTGCTATTGAAAAAACGTGTTAAGCGGGCACGTGTTAAATGAGGAATTACTGTATTGTAGTGGTATGGCAAGCTACCTGGTAGAGACAGCAACTGTTTGCATTAGACAGGGACTCAAATGGAACCCTAGACCCTACTCCGCACCATTCTCAATAAAAAGGTATGGTAACTGGCCACTGCAATGTATCCTTGCATCCTTCCTCCTAAAAAAAACCACTGCCCATATCTTAATTACTGTCCTTGCTCATTCACCAATGTAAAGATTACACAATGGAGGAGATGGCTCTTCTATAAAAGAGGTTGATGACACTTTGGACTCAATCTGGCATCCAGGACTGAACGTTCCTTTGCTGCAAAACTTTCTATTGCTCTTGGGATTGGGGGTGGGGTGTGGAGGGGACATACGGCACCATTAAATCCATTTATCAAGTTAGGTGCAGGATAAAAGAAAACCGCATGCAAACAGAGGCCTCTGACTGCGAAAGGCAAGAGAACGTACACATGCAGAGGGGTCTGTCTCATGCTTTGGCATCTCAGGCAGAGTTCATCATGCGAACAAAGTATATTACTCAAACGGAAGTTGCAAGTTTGGAATTTTACTTTGGCCCAATCTTTTCAACACACACTTCAGTGCCCTATGAGCCCTCCTGGAGTGACCCCATGACCCAGGAGTTCCACGGAGCTACTCAGAGATAAAGCCATGCTGGGACTAGTAAACACACACGGCAACTCTGGAGGTGTCTTTAAATCACATTTGTGCTTTACACCAGTGTAACTGAGAGTAGCCTGAAACTTGCTCTAAATTCCACCAGGCTGTAGGAAAGCTCGCTCCCTTTGCCCTGGCCCCAGGGAGAAGAGAGGCTGAAAGTGCTATTACCTAATAACATAAGTCACTGGGACTAACTGATTTGAAAACAAGGAGTCCCACACTAGGTGATATCTAACCACAGAAAAATGTACCAAACATATGTGGAATCTCACCAAATACTGAATTATTGCCCAGAAGTGCTGTGGCTGGAGGCCCAAATGAAGAGAGGCACAGTTATGCAGAGAAAAGATTGAAACGGAGACAAGAGAATGAGAGATAGGCTTCCCCAAACTAGCAGAAATTATTTAAAAGGCCATCCATTAAATGGCAACAAGCAAGACGGGGCAACCCTGTATACCCAGTGCATTGGCCAGTCTCAGAGTAAAATGACAGTGATGGCACTAG